AAGTATTACTTCAGTATCCAGCATGTGGTTTTGGAGGCTTCAGCTTAAGGTCAGATGCTTGTCAGTGCAGCTTCACGGATTGCAGGGCAGTAAGTCTACGGCTGACATGCTGACTGATACGATTGTCAAATTGATTGTTAGGGTCTGTGGAAGGATTAATATTGTTGAGGACGAGGGCTTCAAAGACGTTTGGAAAGATATGTCACTATCAAAATCCACAATAATGTTAGATGATTTTTTTTTTTTTAATATTAATCGTTCCTTCATTTGAATTAGTCATAAACAGTCAAAATGTGTTTTACGTCTACCTTCTCTTATTTATTTTTTTCTGTCCAGCAATATACGTACTAGATGCTCTTTTTTTTGGATGGGATTTAGGACATGCAATCATGGCTACCTTATTTTCCGATGTATAAGTCCCACTTTTTATCATCCTTTTTTTTCATGACTTGGTTTGCGACTTGTATTCAGGTGCGGCTTAAAATATATAATTAAAATATATAATTTCACGGTTGTTATTTTCACTCTGACAGCCGCTAGAGGGCACTCTAGGCTTGTGTACCAGTATCTGCTACTCCTGCACCACTGCGGATTTTTTATGTTTGTTATTTTCACATTGACTGTCGCTAGGGGGCACTGTTACGACTTGTACTTCGGAGCGACTTGTATATATATTTTTTGGGGGGGTGGGGGGGGTTCTCTTTATTATGCAATTTTTGGCTAGTGTGACTTATACTCCGGAGCGACTTATAGAAAATGAAATTATATGGTAATTACAATCACCAATTATCATGATTAATCCACAGCTACATTAACTGATTAATTTTATAAAAAAATATTGCTTGACAGACCTAACAGCAACAGTAAATGTAATTTACTGTAATTGTAGTAGAAAGCAGGGTAGAAGACTGTCAACAACGTCATAAATCAATAATTATAATATTAAAATAAAAATATATATATAACATTTTGCTACAAGTATTCTTTAATAAAATTGTAAAAAATATTCTTATTTTCCCTAACAGGCCCGCGCGACTCTATTCCGATAAATGTCAGCTCGCAAAAAAAAAAAAAGAGATGATTTTCAGTTGCGAACATTTGTATATGACAGAGAGTTTTACAGTTGGCTGGCAAGTGTTCCAGCAGGTGCTCTCTGACAGTTACATGATCACATACCTTTGTTTCCATATTAGAAAACCGCCGCTGTCTCCTGGACAACCCAGAGAAGCCAAATGATTGTCAGCCAGAGTGTCTGGCTGTGCTTGTGTGTGCGCGCGTTAGTGTCTGTGTGTATGTGCGGATCTCTCTGTATTTGTGGAATTTGCTGTACTGTTAATTGTAACTGTAAGACAGATTGATACTCCGGGCACTCGACAGCATTTGTTGTTTACCTCAAAGATATAACATGACCACGACACATGATTCCCGTGATTGACAGGCTCGGTAAACAAAGACAGATGTTGAAGCTCATTTGACAACATGCCACAGATGTTGTCTCATGTATGACACCGCCTCTCACATCGGGAAGAACAGATCGCTCCAAATATATATAATTACAGTTAAAGTGACATGACAGCTGTAAACGCCACTCCTGCATTAATTAACACCCTCCTCTGAAATATTGTCTCGCAATTGGAATTTTATGCGTCGTGTCTTAAAAAAAAAAACGTTGATTGAATTGAACTGCTTCGTTTGGGTTGATTATTCAGTAAGTGGAAAAGTGATCTTATATGAGAAGGAAACTTGTAGATTTCACCCTATTAGCAACGTGTGTGTATACACACATTGTGTTTTGCAGTTTTGGCGTGTACTATTATATGTATAGATAGATTGAATTTCAAATTTTAAAGTTAAAATTACTGCTTCGTTTGGGTTGATTATTCAGTAAGTGGAAAAGTGATCTTATATGAGAAGGAAACTTGTAGATTTCACCCTATTAGCAACGTGTGTGTATACACACATTGTGTTTTGCAGTTTTGGCGTGTACTATTATATGTATAGATAGATTGAATTTCAAATTTTAAAGTTAAAATTAATCTTAGAATGGACTCGTTCACTAATGTCTGGGATAATTTACAGTTTTCTTGCACATTTATCTATTTTTGTCTTATTCAGTGTCATTTTGACAACATTACACAGTGGCTGAATAGAATCTGTCCATTGTACTTACAATTTCGGGGGCTCATCAGGCAGTTCTTCTATTCATATATTCTCTTAATTTATTTTGCAGATTTCAAACACATTTTCTTTTTCTGGCATGGAAGGACTTTGGAAATACATGTTTTTGCAGCGTATAGAAAATAACAGTACTTTCAGTAATAACAGTAATTTACAGTATAATAATATAAAACCGCATATTTATTCAAATATTCACACAAACACCCACACACATATATAAATATATAAAAAATATATAATAAATATATATACCTATATACATATACATATATACATATATATACACATATATACATATATATACATGTATATATACACATATATATACATATAT